TGGATCGCCTCAAAAGATGACCAGTTTTTTCGACGCGGGATTCGTACGCTGCCCGAAAGATGGGAGAAAGTAGTGGCCAGCGATGGACAATACTTTGAATCATAAATGTATAACCAGTTTTTTACAATAAAGCCTCGAATTTCGGAAAAAAAACGGCGGAAGCAAAGTTATACACCTAATATTAAAAATATATCATTGGCATATCTTAAAGATATCGCAATATATCTAGGATATCCTCATGATGTAATTTGAACATTTCTGCTGTGTGGATTAAGCTATAGATTTCATAGTTTTGTTTTCTTTTATTCAACAAAATAACTAAAAATGCCCATCTAGAGGAGAGTACTCCCTTAAAGTGAAAGAATTACATCAAATTCATTTTCCAATTTCGAGGTAAAATACTCATTCGACGATTCAGAGTGGAGAATATGTCAGTAAAAAATCATTAGAATTCAAATAACTTGGCGGTCATTCTACTCTTCGAGTGAAATTACATTCCAAGGAATTTGGAATATATGATAAAAAATTATGCTAAGTAAACAGTCGGTGATAATACTGACATACATCGGTGAAAATGTATTGTTAGAAATATTCCGACAAGAGTCTGCAAAAAGATGAAATCTAATGGCAAATTCGATTGTAAGCACAAGTGTACACTAAGATTACCTTATAGTTTGTTCTTATATTTCATTTGTATTTATAGAGTTTTATCTTATATTTAATATTGTATTATATTCATCTTCAGATGTTATACAAATCGTTGTACTGCTTACGGAGCATTCGGAGACAAATTTAAGATGATTTTAAATTAGAATCTATGAAATAATCTTAATGTACACTAATGCTTCCAGTCAAAGTTGCCATTAGTTTTCGGTAAATCGATCGCACTTTCTTGTGAATGACTTTTCGAACTCTCACTTTCGGAACACTTCGTTTGAAAGCTTTCATTTTGCTAGTAGCTCTTTAACGCCAAAATCTCTCTTACCTTCGTCGTGACCGGGTCGCAGTCGTAGAAGGCCGCGAAGATGATGATTCCCGTGTAGCAACACAACGAGACAATGCTGATTATTCCTACGGCCATTATGATAATCGCCCTGGACACAAAGGGGGATTAAATAAGCGAGATCCGCACCGGGAAATGCACATCACGGGGCAATCTCTTGGACTTACACGTTGGACTTTTTCAGATTCGGCATCGCCAGGCATCTCTGCACCATCGATTGATTTACCGAACACGTAGCCAACCAATTTAAATAAGAGCCGACCACCACTGTCCAAAAAGTATGTCTCACCGTAGGATCCGGATCCATGCTGTACAAAAAGAACGTTTATTACGTGATAACTCTGGTCTATAAAAAAAAACTTTTTTAACACACAGAATAAATATGAACTATATATTGTTCTTTAAGCTAAATTAAAAAACACAAACAGATTTTTTCTATCAGAGTTTTCCAGCTGTGTGGTTTTTAAGTTTCAAAAAAACTGATTTCCTCTATGTATACAAATACGTCTTATCTAATTTGGAATATAAAGGTTAGTGAGTTTTTGCTGTACTTGTTGCATATTTTTTATTAAAAAGAATAAAAAATTATTAAATAATTAAAATTATTAGTTTTTATCATGTCCAATGTCTAATTAGAAAAAAAATTGCGTATGAGACAAAATGTTACTTGTAAAGAATTTTTATAGACAAATATACGACTTGAGTGGAGAAATATTTTATAGAAGATATTTAACATTCGTAACTTCAATATATATATAAAATTTAGAATTAAATCGAATTGCGAATTGCATGTCAAATGTTCTATATATAATATATCAAATTTCAAATGACTATCACAAGAAAAAGCAGTGGATGATAGAAAAACTCTAAGTTTATTTTTCGATCTTATAAAAATATAAAAATATTGCAACAATACATAATATTGTATAAATATCTTACAATACATAAGAAACACATTATAAATTGTCTTTTTAGAAAAGGTTGGTAAAAAATAGTATAAATATGTTCCAAATTTAAATAGAATCAAAGAGAGATTGATATAGACTTCAGAATATCAAAGGAATTAAGGAGAGGCTGAAGCTGAAAACTTTATCGACAGAATACTGACATTTTTTTACAAAGTTTATGTCGCATTAGTTGTACAGAATTACGAATACTCTTACGCAATAAAAGTACGTGCAAAAATAAATAGGAGCATTGCTCGATATGTAATGAAAACGAAAAGAAATTTTAATATAAAATCTCAAGCTATCAATTAGCGTAATACTTGTCTAATCCAAAAGTCCCGCATCGTACATATAAAAATTGTAAATGTTTTAAACAGAAAAATTTTGAAGAATTTTGCTGTATTTTCGCACTTGAATTCAGAAACTGAAGAATATTGGACAAGTTTGCAGAAAGATTTCTACACATTTCTACACATGCGTGGTTAGGTTTTCCGCTGAATATAGTAAAACAAAGCAACACACATTTACATAAGTTCTGTATTTACAAAAAATATAAAAGGATAGCGTGATAGTGTTAGTGACGATTGTCTCCGCGTTATCGACGTTGTTCGAATTCATTATCGACTTCAACATCCCCTTAAATGAATTTATTGAGGATGTTAAGAATTTTATTGAGTTTAAAAATAAGATCAAAATTTCTCTTTGCAAGAATATTATCAAAAATATTATCAAAGGAAAAAGTTGATATTAATATTTAATATAATATTTACTATATATATTATATTAATATTTAATATGTATATTTAAATAATTATATTATATAATTATTATAAACTATAATTTAATTAAATATAATTATTATAATTATATTATAGTAATTTAATTTAATTTAATATTCTTGATTGAAATAAACTTATTAAGATTCAGAAAGTATATGGAATAAATTTAATGCTTGTTATGATAGATAGACGAAGTTATGATAGATTATGATAGAATATATAAACTTGTGAAATAATGATTTTACTTGAGTTTATATTGAAATAAATATTTTTATTTGAGTTTATATTTACTTAATGCACACGATATATATTTTTAAGTAAGAACTATGACGGTAAGAACTGTATAAATAAGCATACAACAACAGCAACTTTTAATGCAATATCTACTTAATTTAAAATCACATAAATTTCTAACCATAGAATTAACCATAGAAAATGTAGATGTAACAATAATAGCAGTTTTCTCCCTACGTATATACACTGTGGGAAAAATTACCTCAAAATCAACAAATATTTCTTTGATGAGTGCCATTAACATATTCACTTAAATCTAAATTCTCTTTATTTAAATAAAATATTGATTTAAATAAACAATATTTGGTTTAAATAAAGAGAATATTTGTTGATTTTAATGTAATTTCTCCCTCAGTATGAAGGTATGAAACTCTGCAAATTCGTCAAAGTATGATTAAACATTGCAAGATATTTTACATTTCGCAATGTTTTGATTTGAGGACATTACAGTAAAAAGAAAAGATGCACGAGATGTGAAGAAAATTTGCGCTTACTTAAAGAATTCAATTCTCCCTGTATTGAAATTCCTTTTCCACACCTCCGCCACGCCGCCAACTCTGTTCGTGCCGAGTACGGCGACGACGATGATAGCGCCGAACATCATCACCGTCTGAATCGTATCCGTCCAGACGACCGCCTTCAAGCCACCCTGTAGTAAAATATCATATCCTATTGTTTCTTCTCTCAAAATGCTTCGATGTAAGGATACACGATTTTTATCTCCTGCCGACGTATCCTTCCTGTGTATTTTAGTCGGATAAAATTCAGTATCAAACTCTCTTCAAGTTAACAACGCAAGCTTAAAACGATCCTTCGAACGGAGACAAAATCTACATTCGAATCTACAGGGTGTCCGGTAACTCACGGAGGAGCCGCAGTGTACAAGTAGATCAAACTGAACAAAAAATTCCTCTATCGTTTTGCGAACAATCATGTAAAATTTTGAGTTACTAATCCAAGAAGATTCGTGAATAATCACGCGCCATACGGTAGATCAACTGCGATGGCGACATTTGTCGTTGTATACTTATATTACTTGTATTAGATCAAACTAATTACTTGTATTAGATTAAACTGTCTTAGAACAAAAATGTCCTCTACTATGTTTCAAATGACGACGTAAATGTTTAGTTATTAATTAAAAAATATTAGTGCATTATCGCGCATAACCGTACACCAAACTTCTTTAATTAATAACTAAACATGTGCATGGTTATTCAGAAAATGGTAGAGAAAATTTTTATTCAGTTTGACCTAATATACATGCATACAGCGGCAGACGTCGCTATCACAGCTCATCTACCGTACGGCGCATGATCACGAATCTTCTTGGATTAATATCTCAAAATTTTATGTGGTTGTTCATAAAATGATAGAGAAATTTTGTATTCAGTTCCTAATCTATCTGTGCACATCGTGGCACTTCTGTGAGTTACCGGACACTCTGTATACTCTTTAAATTTCTTGAAGTTAAAATATTGCCACTCTTGCAATAAGAGTGAAATATTCGGTTCAATCGAGTGAAATATTCACTCCTATGAAGAATAAATACTGCCACAGGAGTGACTGTTTCACTCGATTGGAGTGAATATTTCACTCTTATTGTAAGAGTGGCAGTATTTTCACTTCAAGAAGTTTAGAGAATGTATATACGTGCGAATCTCTTACCAGTGTCGTGTAGAAGATGCACACCGCGCAGACCAGCAGGGCGATCGTGTAGAGGTCTATCCCGGTAGCCTGATTGAAAGCTAGCGCCGGCACGTATATCACCAGCGGTATATAAAGCAACTGCAAGTGCAAGCGCAAGATTGCTCGTCTCGTCGAGTTGCTCTCGAGGTCGACGCATTCCAAGAATTCGACGCTTCGACAAATTTTCAGCACAATAGAGTCGTTAATGGCGTATGAGAAAATTTTTCAGAAGCGAATAACATAAAAAGTTAAAAGAGAGGAGGAACCCGAAATTTTGAGTCCACAGAAATCGCAAAAATATTTCTATGTTTGTATTCTTTTAACGAGAATTAAGCTCACCATCTTGATGATGAAGATAACCGACCCCATGAGTCTAACTACTCGATTGAATCTCAACTCCAAGTACTGTGAGCAAAAAAAAAGAAAAACTCAGAAATTGCTAACAAACGCAACTCATTGTTATACAGAAAAAAATTAGAATCCATTTATAATTAATATATTTAAATTAACAACCATTTTTTCACAGACAGAATGTTTATCGTAATGGTATTCTCTATTTTTTTTTACCAGTTGCAATGATTGGCTAGTTACAGGAAATATAGTAGATGCAATTAATCAATTTTTAAATAGCAATATGATACAACAATAATCTTTTTCGACGTTCTCGAAATTTTTATTCTTGCATTTTGTTACTTAAAACGGATTGATTACATTTAAAACTTTGTCCTGCCTAATCATTATAACTTGTAAAAATTATAATGAATATCGTTACCGTGAATATATACACACGCATACACGCAAACATACACACACATCCTGCATAAGCAATGATATATAATTTTGTTAGAAGAATTTAAAAAAAATATAATTTTGTTAAAAGAATTTTGAATTTCAACAATGTTATAATTTCATTTTAATATTATAGTAGTTTCATAAAGAGAATATGATTACTTTGATGATAATAGCTTTTTCCGACATTAAAAGACATCATTTTCTAAGTTTGATATTTTGTGCTTTCTATTTGTAAAAATTATACTTTTGGATAACAAGAATATATTTTTCTTGGCTTTTTAAATCATATAAAATATATCTATGTAAGTAACTTATCCTCTTAACACGCTATGTTATCTCATATTAAAATTAATATACCAAAAATAAATATATTTTTAAAACAAGGATGTTCTCTTTTTCTGTGTATAGTTTCAATCGTGTACCTCGTAGGATGATGTAATTTTCAGACCGTAGAAAACCGGCAGGTAGACGATCACCATCGTCAAGGAAACGAAAGAGTCCGAGATCACGATGCACCACAATTGCGTGCCGTACACGTACATTTCGGCCGGCAATCCCAGCATCGCTATGCCGGACACGTAGCTGTAATTTAACGACGCCATTTAACGCCGTAAAGTATAATTTATACAACATTTACAACAGTGCAAGTTTGAGCGGAGTCATTTTCCATCCGGCTACTGACGAATGAACAATTCTTATCGGAGTACTAACTCGTTCCGATTGCGTATAAGATCGTGACTCTACAGAACGGCAAACTTTTAGCAACAAAAACTTGTTTTGTTCGTTTAAATCATTCCGTCTAATCGTTCAGTTCCTCCGCTGTTCTCACGCCTCACTGATTGTAGATGTAGTTCCTCTCAATTGTTGGAAAACTTATCATTGAAATATTAGCTAAATTGATTACGAATAATTAAAACATCTTACATTCTCTAATTCGTTGAAGATGTGGATTTTTCACATATTCGATATCATGAAAATCTTTTGCATCTTTCTTCCATCTTTAATAACAAAGAGTATAAACTTATAGCTGGCAGTCGCAGCCAATAAAGCGTTAATGGCGTGTAACTAAGATGGGTGCTTTTAGAACGAATTTGCTTATCCGGGCATCACGACGCGTGGACACTTGATTATTAATAATTACAACTTTAACCAGAGAGCCTTGACGACCAATTGAAACAAACGTCACCTAACGCGTCCTATATTTCCGGCCAATAGAACAGTTTCTCTACCGACATCCTGTACTTTCCAACCGGGTATCTTTTCGACTCGTCTATTAAATTTGACGCGTGTGATTTCTAGTATAACGTTGAAGACATTCTAATTGTTGACGCACACAGTACGTCGTAAACCAACCGAACAATATTTCAAAACTTCGCGAAAACTTTTGGGAAAAATAGTCGGCTTGAAACTTGTTTTTTAACATTTTGGCGGCTGTACTTGTTTTAGAAAAATTTTAGATTGGCACCAACAACTTTAAATAACTTTAAACTGTCGAGAACTCAGATGGTATCTAAAGAAAAAACAGATTCCTTGTTCATAAATCCGTACATCCAGCTATGCATATGAGGCCCCTTTATCACAATTATAAATTATTACTGTTGAAAAAACTCTTTATAAGAGAATAGTTGCTGACAGAATAAAATCGCGTATACATAACTGCAAACATCAAAGGGATGCTGAAACTGCTGAGAACTTTACCGATATTATATTGATATTTTCCTGTAAAATTTTTTATTTATTTTTTTGTTTGCTGTACTGAGTATATACTGTGTTGTACATATTGAGTAATATTCCAATTTATTTTGACACTTGCTTTCATTGTATAAAAGTGTTTATAATGCTTTGCAATCAATACGATATGAACTTTGCAGAAAAATGTCAATATTTTGTCGATAAAATTTTGAAATATAGCATTTCCTTCCCAATCCGGTATAAATGTTTAAAATATATCCTAGAAACGTGCCACCCTAGAAATATCATACTAAGAATCATTGATAATTACTTATTATCCAGTATTTTTAATACTGAAAATAAGTAATTATCAATGATTCTTAGTATGATATTTCTATAAGGGCAGAAATATCAAATTTCTTTAGGATGTATCACGTACATCTCTGGAATATATTTTAGACATTTCTGCTGTATGGGTTAAACGACTTCTTTTAAAAACAGACAAGACATATGTCTACATTCTTTATTATAAACATTCAAATGTTCCTTCTGAAAAGTCATGTTATTAGTACATTTGTGAACTAATGCAAATAACTTTGCACAATAAGAAATCACGCAGACTTTATTATTAAAAATAAATCGCTTAACACGTCCATAAACTAATGCATTAATGTGTTCTCTTGCGACGGTGAAGTACAATCAGGCTTACTCTTCATTTTCGAATGAAAAAATTTGTTCGACAATTTAAGCTGAAGGATACTGCCACCCGAAATCACGAGAGCGAATGTTTCACTCAAGTTCAATGGACTCTGACTCCATACGAGTAAATATTGCAATCGATTAGAGCGAAAGTTTACCTTCCAATTTCAAATAGAAATATTTACTCTCACAATTCAGAGTGAAAAATTTGCTTCATATAAATAAAGAATTACTTGAACTCGAATGATTCAGTGATCACCTGAAACTTTGCGCGACTTAAATCTCATTTCAAGAAATTTTGAGAATATATTATAACAAAAAAAAAAAAGAGTTTCACTCCCTTACAATAGAAATAAATCTTTATTTAAAACCTAATCTATTCCTAGTTTATTTTTACTTTTCGCTTAATTTTTCGCGATATTCTGTATGATATCGTTTTGATATCGAAAACATATCATCCATTTTTTATTAATGAATTGAATCACCCTGCTGTATCATATCTTGCTATATCATATGAATCAAATAGCTATATTAAGAGACTGCTGGACACCGACATAACGCAGCTTCGTATTTTGTACTATTTTCCTGTATTTAATTGTATAAAATTGCAAATGCTTATACAAAACGGAAATACAAAAATGAGAATGGCGGAAAATACTCTATATTATATAAAGAATTTTTAAATTTTTTGTTTATAAAATATTTTGCTTTTTTTTGTAATATGGAATATTCCGTTATTCAACAACATTTCTGTAGAAGCATTGAAGATTCTATACCAAGAAACCAAATGGAACAACAATTCAAAATATGAAAGTTGCGGTACATCGGTATTCAGCATCCCCTTGATAGAATAAGACCTTTTGTACAAATTAGGCTGAAATATATTTATGGTAGATCTTTACCTTGCTATCAATGACATGCTTATCGGAAATATAGACATCTTTTGACCGCCCACGAGATATTCTCCCACCGCGTCCGCCTTCTTTCTGGACGCGTAACACTGATAGACACCTACGAGCGCGGAGATACTCAGCAATCCGACGAACACGATCGAATCGATCAGATCAAACGTTCGTCGATTTTCCGTATCCATAGCGTGCCTCTCGTGTCTCCCTTAGTCCGGTATAATCTAAGCAAACAAAAACACCCGCGCCAGAAATTTACGACTCATCGTGTTGTTGTGACGAGGATCGCTCGCGCTGAATATCGTCGTCGTCGGTCCTCACTTTATATTATAAATTAGAGAAACATCTCACGGATTCTAGCATTCATGATGGTATCTTGACATTAAATGTTCAATGCCGGTACAAATCATCAAATCCCGTGAATCGGCACGGAAGGATTAGTAGGTCGTAATCATTATCTCTCGTCGCGTGTGAGTTCTCCAGCGTCCCGCAAGAATGTGACAAGCGTTATAAACGTACAATTTGGTGGATTCGCTGCTCTAAGGATTCCAGATCCGCCAGATATACAAAATCTCACGTAGAATTCGTTTTGTCTAAAATGAGCACGGTATTTAACTCTGAGTATCACAAATGGTCGGTCTCTCTTTCGAAACGTGAAACTTACCAATATATCTTTGTATTTTATTTAAAAATGTCGAAATTCGATTTAATTGTGAACATAACGAAGGACATGCGGTACGTGCGTCGAGATAAGTGAAAATACATCAGCGCCGTTAACAATCGCGTTTGATAATGGATCGTTATACTTATCGAAGGAATACATTCTTGAATAGCATATTCTCTTTGTTACAACTTTATACATACACGAAGATATCGAGCACTACTCAAGCACAAAGGCGAATATGATTGCACTCTTAAAAGGACTCTGATTCGTGCTCTGTGAAATCGATGAAAAATCGCTCGTCACTAACACAATCGCGCTCGTCAATTTCTTTTTCTTTTTTGCAAAATCGTAGAATGCCTGATGGGAAGACACGTTCGGCGAAATATCGAGTCCGATATTTCTGTGAGGCCGAGGCGCGATTGCGATTCCTTCGATCTCGCGCGGAACGCGAAGAAGAGATTTCGAGATTGCGCGACGACGTAGCGACGAGATTACGGATGTGTCGCTCCTTCTGCGCGCTCGAAACGTCTATGACGGTGAAAGAGCGACACTTTAAACGCGGCTGGAGGGCACGATTGAATAATTGCGGATTCTCTGCCGCCGTTGCTCCACATCGCCCTCGTCCACCGCCTTCCGCGATGGACTCGCTTGATGCATCTGAAATGGCCATTGGACTTTGGGCAGGTCGCTTTTATTTCGGCTTGATCTATTTTCATGCTAAATGTTGCCAATTTGTCATTCAAAACCTTCATATAAAATTTGTCACTCAAAATCTTCATTTAAAATTGCTCATACACAAGTATAAAATAAATCTCGTGAATCTATACTGTATATATTGAGAAAAAAACGCCAAGTACGTATCAAAACAAAAACTATAAAACAAAAAGTACATGTTACTTTAATCAAAGTGTAGATGTTTTAAATTAATTATAATAAAAAAAAGGTAAGATCAGTATAATAAACCAAATACGTATATGTAAATATTTATTACATATTTATTAAAAAATTACGTGATAAGTATCAATAATATTAATAATTGAACGCTGAAATATCCAAATATCAAATTGAGAAAAACTTAACATCGAGGATCAAAAACTCGGTGTGCCCCAATTAATACATTATTCTTCAATATAAATGTTTATAATACTGTTAATAATTTTATGTACATTATTAAAAAAAAAAAAATATATATATATATATATACACGGTGGGCCATTTTAATCTCCCCACCTGAATTTCTCGTAATCTAAGTCTTTTCCCGCTCTTTTCAAATCCGGGGTCAAAAATA